TAGAGTCAATAATCAATAATAAAAAAAGAATAGTTTGCCCACATAGCATGGTTCAGTGCTTGGACGTGGACCCGTGAACCATGAGATCACTGGTTTCATTCCAGGTAAGGCACACGCCCAGGTTAGAGAGCTCCATCCCTTCAGGGGGCATGCAGGAGGCAACTGATCAATGATTCTCTCTCTTCATTGATGTTTCTCCATCTCCCTCTCTCTCTAAAAAATCAATAAAAACATTTAAAAAATATTAGTATTAAGATTGATTTGATTCAACAACACCAAAGTGAAGAGGCACTTTTTATCTAATTCACTGCAATCTTTCACACTCACTATGAATGCAGTGTTTCTGTCATACTGGTGGTTATCTTTAAACCTTAGAGTCATACAAAAATTGACACCAGATTCCAGTTGATAGAGCATCAACCTGCAGACTGAATGGTCCCAGGTACAATTCTGACAGGGGCACATGCCGGGATTGCAGGCTTGATCCCCAATAGAGGGCATGCAGGAGGCAGCCAAACAATGATTCTCTCTCATCATTAATGTTTCTATCTCTCTCGCCCTCTCCCTTCCTCTCTGAAATAAATGAAAAATATATATATATATGAAGAATGACACCAGTGTATGAAATTTCATACATCATAGGACATGGCTCCGTTAGTGTATGTGGGGAAGAATTCCCCTAAACATTGTTGAGAATTATGTATTACCTATTGTGACCAGAGACTATACTTAATATTGTGCACAGAAACACAACAAAGGCCTCCTTTCCAGTGTGAACATTGACCTCACCAATAATAGGCACCAGGCTGCAAATTAGAACCACAAAGTCATGCAGATAATTTTCAAGGCCTTGGGCAGAAGTTTAAAAAAAAGCCAAAATTGGACAAACTGATTTTCTGCCACTACTATGTGACTTCCAAAGCACAGAATGTTTGGGACCCCATCATATCTGTTCACCTCTCCATGCTGACAGGTCACAACTTTCCTTTATAGCCTTCCCAGGCAGTGAATATAATCCCCAAAAGTAAAGGTACGAAAGAAAAAACACCTTTACTGAATGATCATAACCCAGAACAGAGGACAGCAAGCAGTTTGCAGGTTGGTGAATTAGAACCTGAAACAATTCATCACAGCATAATGTGCAAACCACTATGTCCCTGACAGAGGTAGCACTTTGTAGCTGAGGATGAGTGCCCTGGATGAAGCCTGTATCGGGTGCATTCCCTCGTCAGAGATAAAGAAATGAAGATACTGCCAAGAGCTCAGAGTAATCACAATTTTCTCAAGCACAAGTGAGAACACAGAATACATTTCCCCTGATCACATTTTAAAGTTCTTATCCATAGAATACAATACTAGTCAGTAATAAAAAAATTCAATATTCACATAAGCATTTGTATTGAATCTCAAAATATCTGTAGCATTAAGGAAACCAGTATTTAAAAGTACACACCTTATAATGCCTATAAAATTATGAAAAATTTGAACTAATCTAATGTAAAGAATGGAAAATGAATGATTGCATGGAAGGCTGGGAAAGTCAGAAAGAGGAATTATAAAAGGGCAAGAGGGATTATAAAATGTAGAGTGTGGGAAATGTAGGTTTAGAGTTGTTGGTATGGAAAATAATTCATAAAAATACCGGAATAAACTCTGCTTTCACCATGTACCTCAGCTGGGTGGGTATCATCCAGTGAACTGAAATGTCCTGGTTCAATTCCAGGTCAGTGCACAGCCCCACCTGTGACCACAGTAGGGAGGGTGGAAAAGGCAGCTCATGTATATTTATCTATCCCGCTCCCCCTTCCCTCCTCTCAGGGCTCTCCACATATCTCAGCACTGGTATCCATAGCACATTTCGCATGAGAGTGAGGAAAGTTTTCTGAGTCCATGGTCTGGCTGTAGGAAAGAGAAAGGTACAGGTGGAATATAAAGGAAGAGATGCGATCATCTCAGTCCATTAGGAGAGATGTGAGGATCTTACTTACAGATGATACAAGAGCAAATACTTCCAGCAACACTTTGCAGTACAGAAGTTTCTGAGTCTCATCAAGGATTCCCCACTCCTCTGGAGAGAAGGCAATGGCCACATCCTCAAAGTTCATATCTTGTCATAATGGGGACAGTTTAGTCCATTATCAGATTGTCTCCTAGGATTTTACATTCATCATACACCCCCACTTCCATATCCATCTGCTCCCTAGACTTCTGACTACAAAGAAGATATCAGTCCTTTGTTTCATCAAAGACACTCACCCCTTATATTCCTACTGATGCAGTGACTTCCCACGACAATAAGGGCAATAAGCATATAGATCATATCTGCTCTCTAGTACAATCATGATTTCCACACTGCGCCTTTTTAATACAGTGGGTGTCATGAACATAGGGTATGGGTAGACGTTGTAAATAATGCCAGTGTGAGTGATCAGACACTGTTCTTGTCAGGCAATAACCTTGTTGTTCCCTAGGTTCTCACTCCAAGACCATGAACATTTTGGCATCAGACTTTACCCTTTTGACACCAAGCCTACGGTGCTGAACCATCATTTTGCACTTCCTGCCCAACATAAATCTTTGCAACACAGCTTCATACGCAGAGGCATAATGACATAGGTATGACAAATACATGATGACTTGGCCGGTTTATCTTAATCAACTTTTTTTCCAATACTCTAGTTCAAACCTTCACTAGTGTATTCCTCTCTTACCCTTCACACTACCCAAAGCCAGCCAAAAAGACTCTGAAGTATGCTCTCTCATTCCTATTGATCACTGTGACTGCCCTCCACAACAAAAGGCAGGTTGCACATATATTTCACCTAATCTCTGGACCAAGACAGTAACACTGGAATAGACCCTCTTTTCAGGAATTAATCTGAAATTCACCATATCACATTATCCAGCTATCACCAGAAATGAACTCCACCTTCATTCCCTCTTATGTTGATTTCAGTGGCCCTGCAGCCATGAATGCACATGCCCTCTCCAAGTACACATCACTCTTTCTACCATGACTCTCAAACCTACACTCCCACAATCCCAGAACCCATACTCATCTCCCTGACCTCCTAATCAATACTCAGTAAGTGTTGTTTTGTTAATGCCTGCAAAATTCAAAAGGAATTAAATTCTACACCAACTCTCATTGTCCACACTCAATGAGGCGCCTTCAGTAGTTTTATGATAAACTCCCCCCCTGATTGTTTTTCTCCTTTAACCTCACCTATTGAGAACCACATCAAATCTCCGATATCCAGAGCCGACCTCTCTGGTGCTGCACTTGATATCCCTTCACCAGTCACAGCCTTCACCAGTCAAGTCCCATCACCTAAAACCCTCTGTTCCATGTCCAGTGTGTCTCTCATATGATCACTCATTCCCATATGTATATCAGTCAGGCTACTGACCCCACCGAGGCTCTCAACACTTTCCTGGTGTGTGATTCACAAGTAAAGATGCAACAGCTGCCATCTCTTCTTGTTTTAATTGCTCTTTGCTCTCCAATTAAACAGAAAAAAAGGGTTTTAAAAAGATGATCTAGTACTCGACCCTGGTCACTACACTCACAACTTTAAGTAGTTTTCCACCTGAACTTCTCCTCAGGGTACCAGATGCTCATGAAATGCTCTCTGAAATATCGCACACCAAAACAGACAAAAAATAACAGTTTGGTATCCCCAATGAACATTATACTTCTACTCTGAATATCTGCATCTCAGTTGATGGTGCTTCCATACCTGCAGCTACCAAATGCAAACCTTCAATCATCTCGGGCTCTTACCTCTCTCTCAGCCTCAAAATTAGAAAATCCAGTTGGCCCCAGATAAAACACCAATCCAGAATCCAACAGCTTATATCACCCCCACAATCAGCCTCATGGGTCACTTACCATCATGCTCACCAAAGCAACCTCCATCCTAGACTTTCTACCACCTCCCTCACAGCCATTTGGTTTGTTATGCTTCAGCCACCTGAAGTCTAATGAGACCTGGGTCAGATCACCTGCCTCCAAATCTTTCATTACTCCCATCACCTGCAGACCAGACTTCAAAGGTATCACAAGCTCCGCTAGACCTCACGCCTGTTCCATTGTTACCAGTTCCTATTTTAAAAAATGGACACAAGCCCCAGCTTGTTTGGCTCAATGGATAGAGAGCCAGCCCGTGAACTGAGGGGTCCCGGGATTTTATTCCGGCCAGGGCACATGCCAGGGTTTTGGGCTTGATCCCCAGTGGGGGGTGTGCAGCAGTCAGCCAACCAATGATTCTCTCTGATCATTTTTTTAAAAATACATTTTATTAATTTTTTTACAAAGAGGAAGGGAGAGGGATAGAGAGTTAGAAACATCGCTGAGAGAGAAACATCAATTAGCTTCCTCCAGCACACTCCCTACTGGTTATGGC